ATGAGTCATATGAAGCTCGGTATAGTGAAGTGTGAAAGAGAATGCAGTTTTGTGTGACAAGCCAAAAGTTGTTGCATTCTTCCCTATCTGATGTAACCAAGGTCATTGCATTCTTAATGGACCATCCTGAATCACTGCCATATAAATTTAAATTCACCCACATCTGCCTAGTAGAGTGAGATATGACAATGAAAGCTAAGTTCTGTGGCTAAGAAGTCATAAACTCCAAAGATTCTTGGAGACGGAGACGGGAATTCTTTTGTCTTCCTGAACAAAATCGGAAAAATAGTAAGGTTTTCTCCACCATCTAAAGGTTTATATGGACCTGGCTGGTGTAGCTCAGTAGTTGAGCATTGACCCATTAAACAAGAGGTCACTGGTTCAATTCCCGGTCAGAGCACATGCTGGGGTCGCAGCCTCCATCCCCAGGAGGGGGCGTGCAGAAGGCAGCCGATTGACGATGTTTCTCTCTCATCGATGTTTCTATCTCTCTATCCCTCTCTGTTCTTCCTCTCTCTCTCAAAATCAACGAAAACATATTTTTAAAATAGTAATAGCTCTGTATTTTGGGAGCCTAATTATAGATCCTAATATAAGAGAGTGCTTTCCTTTTTTTAAAAAATGTTTTTATTGATTTTAGAGAGAGAAGAAGGGAGAGAGAGAGAGACATTGATGGGAGAGAAACATTGACTGGCTGCCTCCTGCATGCCCCCTACTGGGGGATCCAGTCCACAACCTGAGCATGTGCCCTGACAGGGACTCGAACCCACAACCTTTCGGTGCATAGGACGATGTTCAACCAACTGAGCCACACCGGCCAGGGCAAGGGAGTGCTTTCTAACCACCTGAATTGCCCAACCTTGTGGGGGTGAAGTTTCCGTCACCAGACATATCCAAGCAGAGGGTCAATGAATCTGTCAGGAGGATGCCCAGGGCATTTGGGCCCCGAGAGAAGGGGCCCAGCAGCGCAGAGGTCTGTCCAGCAGGGAGACTGTTCAGACAAAACCCTGGGAGCAGGACCTTTGCACTCTCGGAGGGGACGCTGCTTTTTGGGGATTGAGCACGTGGGCAGCAGGTGGAGAGAGAGGGGGTGGGGGTGGGGCGCTGGAGATGGGCGGAGCGCTCACAGGAGGGTGCAGCTCTGGGAGCCCAAGGCCCAGCTAATCAGCTTCTTCTTCATGGCGGTATAGGGCGGGTAGTGGAGTTCATTGAGCTTCTCCAGGCCCGCGTGGGAGAGCAGGCAGGCGCGGTGGTTGGAGAAGGTGTCGAAGGAGAACTTGCCGTGGTATCTTCCCATCCCGCTGTGACCTGCATGGGCACACACGTGAGGGTCTGAGGCTGGGCAGCCCACTGCCCACCCCTGGTAGCGAGCTCAGGGAAAGCCTGGCCATTCTAAGAGCCATTTTGCAGATAGGGAAACTGAGGCCGTGAGAGGCCCAGGGCTTAGATCAACAGTAACAGTGAATGAAGGCAAAACTGGGCTTTTCTGGGTCTGGAGTACCCACACAGGCTTCCCGGGGGTGGGGGCTGCAGGTGGAGGAGGGCAGGGCTCACCAACTCCCCCCATCGGCATGGACCACAGAGTCTGGTACATGAAGCCCTCGTTGCCTCCGAAGTTGCCACTGCTGGTCTGCGCCAGCACCTGGTTCACTACCTGGGGGCGGTGGGGGCAGAGTGGTGGGCTCATCGTCAGGAAAGGGGGCTCGGCCCAGCCGTTCCATGGGGAGCAGAGGCGCGCCCCGGCTCCATCCTCTACTGAGCAGCATCGCCTCTCAAGCACTTCCCGGGCTGTCTGCACCCCTTCAGCTCCTCTGTTGCCCCAACCCTGCCCGGGCCCACCTGGCTGCTGTTGGAGAAGGAGTACAGGGCCAGGGGCTTCTCCCGGCGGTTGATGAAGTCGATGGCCTCGTCCAGGCTCCTCACGGTCACGATGGGCAGGATGGGCCCGAAGATCTCCTCCTGCATCACCGGCTCCGTCTCCTGCACGTCTTTCAAACACCCACCCATCCTTCCATCCATTCATCTTTTCTCTTCCTTATCCATACTTTCCTGCACTCATCAACAAGCCCCTATTAAGCACCTCCTTTGCGTCCACCCTGTTCCCTTTTGGAGACGACCACCCCCAACAATTCCCAGGGGAGCAGGAAGATCATCCTTCCCCTTATTCTCTCAATCTCAGGCCACTAGCCCAGGCTCTGAGGGGTGAGGAGCCCACCGAAGCCGGCCTGGGGTGTTGGGAGGGGGCTTCCAGGTGGAGGACTGGGGAGAGGGCAAGAGGCTGGTCACAGTGGACCAGATATGCTGTCACTGAGCCCCAGCCCTCACTTCTCCGCAAAGCCCACCACCTCCCCGCTCTGCCCTGCTTACTGTATGAACTCAGTTCAGCCCTGTCCTGTCTCTAGACCTCGGTTTCCCCATGTGGCAGACGCTGCCTGCTCTGACCTTCTGACGTCTAGAAGCAGGGAGGACAGCTGTGGCCACCCTGTGCACAGCCCCTTCCGGCGCTCACCGCAGACATCAGTAATCCACACGGCACTCCTTCCTATTGGTTCTACACACAGCATCGGGGTTCTTGTCGATTACCTACTTCAGGGAATTGGCCAGATCTGATCACTTCAGGTCAGCTCCCCAAACCTTAGGGCTGAGGGGAGCTGTTAGCAATAGTTCTGTGTTTTCCCCGGGGGTGTGCTGGAGTGTCGACTCATGAACCAAGAGGTCACTGGTTCAATTCCCGGTCAGAGCACATGCTGGGGTCGCAGCCTCCATCCCCAGGAGGGGGCGTGCAGAAGGCAGCCGATTGACGATGTTTCTCTCTCATCGATGTTTCTATCTCTCTATCCCTCTCTGTTCTTCCTCTCTCTCTCAAAATCAACGAAAACATATTTTTAAAA